ACATAACAATAACAATATGTATTTCTAGTTCATAAATAAAATACGTATAATTTATTCAAAAATGTATTTGCCAATTAACATAAACATGTATCGTAAACATCAAATCTTTGGTGAAAATTGGTTAAAGTCTGCCTAAATTTATATCACATTCAATCCTGATTGCTTCAAAATATAAAAAATGAGACTAAGACTTCTTATGGAGTCCTGGTGTGGCACTGTGGGTTAATGCACTGGACTGCAAAGTCGGTTTGAACCACAAGGTCGGTGGTTCAGGCTCACCAGCTGCTCCATGGAAACCCTATAGAGGGTCGGAACCGACTCTACAGCTCTTAACAACAACAAGCCTTCTTATATTGGGTTGCTATGAGTTGGATCCAACTCCATAGCACACCACCATGCTTTCTTATGATGATTTAGGGTCATCATTATGACTATAATATCAACTCACAGGGACTATTGAATACTATATTAAGTAGCCCAGAATTGCCTCTTTTTTTTTTTTTTCCTTATGCCAGCCATTTATAGGTTTTCTTCCTTCTTGCTTGCTGTGAAACCATTATATCCTAGCACTATCAGGAGCCTGCCTTTAACAGTACCTAGGAGTCCTGGTGTGGTGCTGTGGGTTAATGTGCGGACTGCAAAGTTGGTTTGAACCACAAGGTTGGTGGTTCAAGCTCACCAGCTGCTCCTTGGGAACGCTATACAGGGTCGCTACAGGTTGGAACAGACTCAATGTCACTCAACAACAACAACATGAGTCTCTTCTAAGAAGGAGTTTTGGCATTGCAGTGGGTTATGCGTTGGACTACTAATAAGATCAGCAGTTCAAATCAGCTGCTCCATGAAAAGAAGGGGTTTTTCTGCTCCCACGAAGATTTACAGCCTTGGAAACCCTATACAGGATCATTATGAATTGGAAATGACTGGACAGGACACAGCAGCAGCAGTCTTCTAAGAGTAAGAAAATCAACTACTTAGGATTCTAAGAATCATGTACAAATTAGAAGTTAATAGGGTATCATCTAAAAATGATTTGCATACACTTGGATGATTCTGTTCTAAGTAATAAAGGCTACAATATAAAAGACTTGCTGAGAGAATGTGAGTCCTTGATTGTGTCTCGAGTCTTGGTTCCTTTACTAGACCGACCTGTGGACCAGAAACTTACGTCATTTCTTTCATCACACTATGGAAAGAGATATGTAGCAGGGAACTCAGTTCTAGTGTGACTTCTTACACTAACCAGTTTTACAACACCCTTCAGCAAGTCTTTTAACCTTGGACTATGTTAGATGTCCTGCATTAGAAGTCCTGGTGACACAGTGGTCACTTAACAACAAGGCCACATTAACAGTTTCTAACCAGCTCCACTCATGGCCTCTTTCCCTCCCTCAAGTCCCTCTGGCCCACAACTGCTAGATAAATTTCCTTAAAATACAACTGGGATCATAGCTCTCAAATACCTCTGATAACTGTCATTTACCTTCTCCATCAAGTTAAATCAAGCTAAAATCCCTGTGTAGCCCTAACTGCCTTACTGTCCTTTCTCACTACTCTTTCAAACAAACCCTTTCTCAAACTGGTATATTTAATTCCTTCATATATGCTTTGTACTTCTCTGCCTCTAAGTCACGGTACATATGACTTCTCTCCACTTTAAATACTCTCTTCTTCCCAGCTCCATCTTGGCCTATAGACAGTCAACCCATCCTTCAAGGTCCAGTTTAAGAATCACCTACTGCTTACAAAGGGGCTTCAAAAAGTTTGTGGGGTGCACTGTTTGAAGGGTGTGCAATTTGAAGGTCCCTCAAATACTTTTCCTTGAACACCTTCCTTAAAATCTCTTTGCTTCAGCTTCATCTGTAAGATGGGGATAACAGCAACTCCCTTTGAGTATATTGTGAATAATAACTGAGTTAATTAATTTAAGGTACTTAGCACGATGTCTGACATAGAATAAGGGTCTAAAAAATGTTTGATATTATTATTAATCTTATCATTGCCATTAGTAAATTTATCTTAGCCTAAATTCAAACAGTACAGCTACTACATGACCCTTTAGTTAATAATACAATATCATTCTTCCCTCTTTCCTTTTATACTCCCTCACTCCATGTTTGTTCTCCACCACACACACACACACACACACACACACACACACACACACAATTACATGGTCCTTATGGACAGGATCAATGTCTTACACATCTTAATATTTATACCTAATAGATGATCATTCATACCTAGTAGGTGATATTAAATAGGTGATCAATAAGGGTTTTTTAAATGCATAATGAAAATAATACCACAGAGTTGACAATATTGTATATGTCCCACATCCTAAAGAAGTATAATGTTGTTAAGTGCTGTCGAGTAGGTTCCAACCCATAGCAATCCTGTACGGAGTTTCCAAGGAGCAGCTGATGAGCTTGAACTGCCGACACTGCGGTTCAAACCAACTTTGCAGTCCAGTGCATTAGTCTACAGCACCACACCAACACTCCAAAGAAGTATGAAAGAATGCTTAAAATGATTAATACAAATCTTCACATTTCCAGGCTCACAAACCAAATCTCTCCTTTGATGGTTCTCCAGAGTCTCTTTGCTTTTTTATTCTTTTTGAAAATAAACACTCCAACTTATTCATGCGGCAAGAAGTATAACAGCAAAATACATGCAGGTCAAAAAGTAGCCAAATACTGGAGCACAAGGATCAAAAAAAGGACAACAACAAAAAATTCAGCTAAACAGAGCTCAGGATGAAGCCAAATAGGAAAACAATTTAAAGGAAAAGGTAATCAACAATGTTGATTACTTCATACTCTCTCCTCCTCATCCTGCAGGATACCTCTGCACCCAGGACCACACATAAACAACTGAAATATGCAAGCTATAGCAAGCAGATGTAAACATATCAGTCATTAAGCTCAACAACTGGGTTACTACAAGATCAATTCAATTACATATGCTAAAAGTGACTATTAACATATATCAAGATTCTAAAGTAATCATGTTTTGGAAAATTAAGTCATATCAAGTAGATATGGCTTTACTATACACGAATCATTCACTAATCATTTAGAAAATTAATATGATGACAACTAAATATACATTATTATTGCATAAACTGTTTCCAACATGCCCAGGAAAAATAAAGTTACTGTAACACTGGGTTCTAGTTTTTTGCATGACTCTACTGATCTTCTATTGCTTTCTCAGTCAAAATCAGGCCTTTAACCACTGTCATTCCCAAAGGATTTACCACGGAGAGTGAATTAAGATGATCCAAAAACTAAGCATTAAGTAATATACTGAGAATAAATTATACTAAATTTCTACCCCTATGATTTTTACTTTCAGAGGACCCTAAAATATTTTACCACCTTTGAAGTGTACTTATTGTCAAATTACAGAATCTTAAGAGTTGGAAAGAGCCTTGGAAGTCCTCCAATGCAAGAATTCTTTATATCACCTCCCAGTCAAAAGGTCTCCCAGCTTTGGTTTGAATACTTCCAGCAATTGGCACTTAGGATTTTGAAAAGCAGTCTGCTCTGTTGTTACAAAATTCTTCCTTAGAGTCTCTAGAAATCTGCCTCTCTGAACTTCTACTCAAGGACCTAGTACTGCTTATCCTGGAACAACACAGGATACATTAACCTCTGAAAAACAATCACTTCTAGAATTTGGGTACAGTTGCCAATTTGGTCACTCAAAATGCAAAAGAAAGTTAAAAAAAAAAGAAAGAAAGAAACCACCGCAATACATAATAAAATGCTGAACTTCAGGAAACTATATTAAAATTACACAAACCAGCATATTTTCAAGATATCAGAGCTCAGGCCTCCGTTAACATGCAAATATTAATGAGTCATTTGATTCTTTTTTTTTTTCTTCAAATAATACAACAGTGTTTCCTGAAAATTCTTTTTTTTTGCAACTTTATACTACTAAATCCACCAACACAGCTAAAGAAAACACAATTCTGTAGGAAGTTCAAGGTGGTTTTCCCAACTGCTCATATTTTCATACAGTCCTTTTCTCTCTAAAACCGCAGAATGTTTTTTCTAAGAGTCCATTTTGCGCCACTGATGCAACATTTTATTTATTTTTAAAATGAATTCTTTTCTGAAAGAAAGCCTCAAAGAATGAAGGAAAAAAAGGTGGTGGTGGGGTGAGGAGCAAAAGGCAAAGAAGGGCCCAGCCGGAAAAGGCTGGTTCCTGGGTTTTTTCCTTCTGGAAGCATGCTTTATTGGCATAGGCATCTGAAGTAACGAGCCATACAAACACGACCCGAGAACAAGAACGATCAGGAGCAATGAGTGTGAGGCACAAACGTCCGTAAGATGGAAATGAATTGGCAATGGTCATCAAGCAGCGCCAGATGCTTCAGGACTTGGTAGAGAAAAGCTAAGTGAGCGAAGAAGCAGAGACCATTGCCCCTCTTTCGAGGCGGGGAGAAACCGAGGAGTAACTGCCGTTGAGCAGTCCAATGGAGCCCCAACAGTACAGAGCCCAAGAAAGAGAGCAAGTGACGGGGGAAGGTACACACCCGGAGAGCCTTTAGAAGAAGGTGCAGTGTGCAAATGCTGGACGGCTCCATGAATGGGTGGAGGTGTGTGTAAGGGGCAACAGAGACGAGAAACCCCATGCTTCTGTCCCTGCAGCAAAGCAACAGAGGGTAAAAGAAGGGGGAGGGTGGAAAGCCAGAATGACTCATTCCCGAAAGGAAGTGCTCAAGCCGGAGGATCGCATGCCATTCAGGGGTTCAAGTCCAGGGCCTTGTAGAGCAAGGTGCTTAGGGCGAAGGGGGTTAAAACCCAACATCCGGTAGTTCCTGCAGCTCGTCTTTAAGATGGGAGGTGTTGGGGGTTCGCGGCAGCCGAGTGCCAAGGCCTGGGAAGCGGCGCAGCGCGTGCGCAGTGGCTCTCGGCGGGACCCGCTGAGGCAAAGCCGAACCGCAGTGACAGAAGCGAGCTGAGCGGCCGCCGTGAGGGACTCACCGAGGCGCAGGGGCTGGAGGTGGTGCTGGGGGTAGGCGACCGCTGAACCGTGACCAAAGCCATCTAGGCGCTGCTGGGTTGTTCCGGGCAGGGCATTCTTGTTCTGAGTGTGTGGGGCGGGTGGGCGACGGAGCCGGGATGGGGAAGGGTGTGGGATGGGGTGAGGGAGACGGGAGGAGAAGGAGGCCGCTGGAACGGCCACAGGCTCCGCACCCACCACCGGACTCTCGCAGACTGACGCGCCGAGCGAGCGGCGGGCGGGCGGGCAGGCGGGCGGGCTGGCGGGCGGTTCGGCAGCTGCGGGGCACAATGAGCACTCCCAGTGCGCAGGCGCCACCTGTCAGCAACCGCCTCTCCCCTCGGCGCGCGCCGCCGCCTCGCGGTAACCCTTGAGCTGCCGGAAGCCGACCGAACGAGTGCGCCTCTGGCCACCGCCCCGCTCCCCGTTTTTCTCCTTTGCTCTGTAATCTCTTCGTTTGCCGCTGCTTGAGGCTGCTGAGTAGGGTGGGACGGAGAGGTCGAGGAGAGCGAGAAGGGGGTGGGGGGTGATGCTGATGTCTCCACTCCCACTCTTTGAGGTGGGGCTTGCAGCCTAACCAACAGTAGTGAGAAGAAAACTGTGGTGAAAACCCCTAGTAAAACACGCTTTCTGGTTGAAAGGAACTCCCGGGGTTTTCAAACGCTTTCTCTGAGCTTAGTGGGGACTGTGCTTAGAGACCCTTCTGGCGCGAGTTAACTCCATTTGGCCCTCTTCTCTGAGACTCATTGAGCTTTCTCACCGTTCTGTCTTAGAGTCCAAGTTTTATAATTAAACTTTTTTAAAGAAAGATTTAAATTTTATACTCTGTAAAGCTTCATGGTATCCTCCAGCTTTCTCTATTACTCTGAACCCTATCTTAAAACTCGTTCATTATTCCTGAGGTGAACAGAGGCTGAGGGAGCCAGGAAGTTTAAAGAAAACTGGGTTCACAGAGTTGTAAGAGTGCAACCTGCACTTTATCTCCCACTTGCTTCCTACTGTGAAGAAATTCTGTTAGTCAAACAGCATTTCCACCTTGCAATTTTTTCTCGTCTCTAGATTTCATTCTTTCATAAATACAGGAAAAATATCAGATTAAAAAATATTTCAAAGGAATGATTTTCTAAAAGATACACTGACATAACATAAACCCAGAATGTTAAAAAACAAAACAAAACACTTTTTATCGGTTATTTGCATAGAGAAAGATAGTTAACAAAGCTAATTCTAAATTTGAGTGGATCTGCTGGTAAATATCACCATTCATTTCAAAACTGTAGAAAAGAGAACACAGATACACACACACACCAAAGTTTGCAATTGTTAAAGCCCACATCCTCTTGTTGGTTACTCAAATATTCTTGGCTCACATTGCTTCTTTTAAACTGACAGAGCTGTCATGACCTCTTTCTGGCTGCTATATAGTTAAGTGTCACAAGAGCCCTCTGTGATGAGCCTTTGTTCTCTCCCTGGTGCCCTGTGGTTGAAATAATTAGTAGAGAGGTTCCATCAAGAATCAAACACTAAGGGTCCCTGTACTGTACAGTCCTATATAGAGTGTATTGCAGAAGAGCCAACTGGTAGGCTTTTGCCCCCTGGTGGTGATCAGGAATGCCTGAAAGACAAAATTAAACAAAGATACATGGTTCTGAGATTAAACTATCTAACTCTTCCCCGCCCCCCAACTACTCAGTAAACAGAAAAAGAGAAGACAAGTTTCAAATGTAAGAACTTTGAACCATTGCTTAAGAGACAAAAGGGAAGCTATATACATAGCAAAGAAATATTTGTAGATGAAAACTGAATGAACTCAAATAAATGAAATATATGTGTGGTTTTATCTCTCTAGGATAAGCACTGGATTGTGAACCACAAAGCAGTTTGAGCCCACCAGGAGAAAGATGAGACTTTCTGCTACCGCAAAGATTTAAAGTCATGGAAACCCTATACAGGGTTGCTATGAGTCAGAAACAACTCGACAGCACTTAACAACAACATAAGCCAAAGTATCATTCTAGAAACAGTAATATTTAAATCAATGTTGTTGTTAGTTGCCTTAGAATTGATTCCAACTCATTGCCACTCACATTGCATGTTGATTCTTTTACTGACTCAGGGAACACAACATTGATTATTTTTTTGAAGCAATATGCTCTTAAATTCTAATGGAATACGAGAAACTGTTTTATTCCATTAATCTTACAGTGGGAAAGTGCATTGGTTAGGAATCAAAAGACCTGGTTTCTAGTTCCAGCTCTGTAAAACTTTTAGTAAATGGAAACTTTTGGAGCTATAATTACTTCATCTGTAGGAATGGAGCTGTTCCCCTCAAACTCACAGAATTCTTGTGATCAAATGAGGTAATGTGTAGTAAAGTGCAGTGTAAACTATAAAATCCTATATGTAATTGTTGTTGTTAAGTGCTGTAGAGTTGATTCCTGCTCATAATGACCCTGTTTAGGGTTTCTGAGGAGCTGCTTATGGTTTTGAACCACCAGCCTTGTGGTTAGCAATCCAGTGCCATCCTATAGGGACACGCCAGAACGCCTGTTTGTAATTAAGATTACTTAGTTATTCTCTAAATTTGTTCTAAGTTGGCCCAGCTTTTGTTGAGTTCATCCCATGTGCAAAGAATAACATCAATCAAAAAGAGACTAAAATGGACAAAAAGACATTTGTGCCTTTTCTTAGTAGTAGATCAGTGATCAAATAATGTCTCTTTTGTACGTAGGTATAGAACATTTTTGTTCAGCATAGCTGAGGGGGATTAAATTCTGGTCATAATTTTAGTATAAGATACTTAAATTTACATTGTTGTTGTTGTTGTTAGATACCATCAAGTCAGTACCAACTCATAGTGACCCTATACACAACAGAACAAAACACTGTCTGGTCCTACAGCAACCTCACAATTGTTGCTATGCCTGAACCCATTGCTGCTGCTACTGTTCAATCCATCTCATTGGGGATCTTCCTCTTCCTCTCTGACCCTCCACTTTACCAAGTGTGATGTCCTTCTCCAGGGACTGGTCTATCCTGATAACATATCCGAAGTATAAGAGACAAAGTCTGGCTATCCTGACTTCCAAGGAGCAGTCTGGTTGTACTTCTTCCAACACAGATTGGTTTCTTCTTTTGGCAGTCCATGGTACTTTTAATATTCTCCTCCTACACCATAAATTCAAATGCATCAATTCTTCTACTGTCTTCCTTATTCACTGTCCAACTTTCACATGTATAGATGTTACTGAAAATACCATAGCTTGAGTCAGGCCCACCTTAGTCCTCAGAATGACATCTCTGCTCTTTTATACTTTAAAGAGGTCTTATGCAGCAGATTTGCCCAATGTAATACGTTGTTTGATTTCTTAACTACTGCTTCCATGAGTATTGTTGGTTGATCCAAGCAAAATAAAGTCTTGGACAACTTCAACTTTTTCTCCATTTATCTTGATGTTATTTATTGGTCCAGTTGTGAGGATTTTTGTTTTGTTTACATTGAAGTGCAACCCATACTGAAGGCTCTGGTCTTTGATCTTCATCAGGAAGTATTTTAAGTGCTTTTCGCTTTCAGCAATCAAGGTGGTATCATCTGCATATCACAGTTGTTAATGAGTGTTCCTCCAATCCTTATGCTACCTTCTTCATATAATTCAGCTTTTCGGATCATATGCTCAGCATAGAGATTGAATAAGTATAGTAAAAGAATACAACCCTAGTACACATCTTTCCTAATTTTAAACCATTCCGTGTTCCCTTATTTTGTTGTAACAACTGCCTCTTGGTCTCTGTACAAGTTCCTCATGAGCACAATTAAGTGTTCTGGAATACTCATACTCTATAATATTATCCTTAGCTTGTCATGATCCACACAATCAAAAAAGCCATTGTATGTTCAATAAAGCACAGGTAAACATCTTTCTGGTATTCTCTGCCTTGAGCCAAGATTCATCTGACATCAGCATTTGATATTCCTTGTTCCACATCCTCATCTGAATCTGGCTTGAACCTCTGGCAGTTCTCTGTCAATGTACTGTTGCAGCCACTTTTGAATTTACATTAAGGTTGTTGTATCAGAAAGTTAAGTTACTTATAGAAGAATGTCTTTTCCTGGTATATAATCTTCCAAGGAAACTAAGATTTGGAAATTATTGGTACATATTCATTAATTCAGAAAATAATTGTTGAATGTTTAATATAAACTAGACACTATTTTAGAAACAAAATAGATGTCTGTATACCTCTCAGTGTCTCAGAGCCTGTTAGCAGGATAAGCACAGCAGTAATTACACCCTAGTTTCTTTGTGGTCTGAGAGAGGAAGTGTCTACTTGTAATAGTGGACAGGACCCTGGGTTCCTCATACTGTGTAGCTGCATTTGAGAAATAGGCCAAGAGCAGAATTCCCAAAAGTGGGAGCCCAAAGAAATGCTGAAGGATAACGCACTGGACCATAAGGCTGGTTTGAACCACAGAGTCGGCAGTTCAAACTCAGCAGCCGTTCCTCGGAAACCCTACACAGGGTCACTATGAGTCAGAACCAACTCAACGGCACTTAACAACAACAAAGAGACAAAAGTTCTCCTAGTTCTGTTTTACAGCACCTTCACTTTATCCACCTACAATAATAGAGGCCCCATTGTGCCATTGGAGTCCATTTAATCCTTGTATTATCACTTTTTCAGAGGTGAACTATAGGGGAACTTTTAAAAATCCGTGAGATTGCTGGTTCTAAGGTTTATAAGTCTCATGAACACTACTGTGCCCCTCAGAGAGATGTGCATGCATATTATACACACATTGAAATCCATCTAGTGCCCCAGGTTAAGAATTCTGGTCTAAAGGTCAAAGAAGTGCTTCCCAACCTTTTCCTATCATGACACACACACACACACACATATATATATATATATATACAGAAATATCATAGCACATTGGATAAACTAAAATGAATTTGAGAGTCAACTATATGGGGCTTGGTAGAAAAAGTTTATTCTTTACATTGTTGTTGTTAAGTTGTTTCTTCGTATTACGTAGTTTTAATGAAAAATTAGGATACTAAAACGATATTTCATATAATCCAACTTCTTGGATTATTTGCTCAGCATACAAATTGAATAAGTATGGTAAAAGCAT